AAAAAAAAAAACATTAAATTAAAGTGAGTTCAAGCAGTTCCAACATCGATTTGTAAAATAAAAAATGTCACCATAAAGCATAAGACCCCCACCAAATACTACGAATTGCCCATCATAAAAGAAAAAAGACGAAAACTTATAAACTTAAAACCCAACCATTTCTTCTATCTTCAATGCATGAACGTCATATAAGAAAATACCTTCAGAAATTTCCTCGAGCACCAATTAAATAGAAATTTAAAAAAGTGAATGAAAAAGATAACAAAAATAAAACTGAAATGAAAATAAAAATAGCACTTCTCCAATTAAATTTGCGACGCCAACCTTATCTTACTTGGCCTCAGTTCCAGTTACTGTATACGAGGACTCATCAACTCACTACCTCACTGCACTTGTGAGAAATCCAGCAAACAACTAGGCAGTACCAGTACTAGTACGAACACGAGCTATAACAACAGCCATAGCCACAGACAGTCCCACAGCTACAACTGGAACTGCTTGTTACAGCAACGATAACAGCAACAGTGGCAGCAACAACAGCAGCCAGCAAGAACAACAATTTCTTACCAGCACCATTTTCCAGCGGCTTATCAATGTTAAAATTGAAAAGTTCAGTAAAAATATCAAAAAAAAGAACTATCTCTTACAACAAATGCCAAAGAATAAATATCAAACTGCTTTAAGACCAAGACGTTTATAGCAGCTAAAGATAACTAATTTATGCTTATATACCGCTGAAACTTCCTCTCCCCGCATCCCTCGTTAGCTTTCTGCTATAACGGCCCGGTTAAAACAAAAAAGATTACTGTTACGACAGCACCGCCTGCAAAAATGAAAAACTTTGTGAACAAACAAATAAATAATTTTTTTCCCTCCTCAGTATCCCTCTACAGATGTATACATTTCTTCAAATTGCACCCGCTTTATTCATAACTGCAAACTTAAACATCGTCATCATCACCCGCCTTCGTCATCAGTATCAGCACTGCCATCCCATTATTGAAAGAAGCAAGTATAAACTTTGGAGGTGAAAAAATCTGGGAAATAAAAAACTCAAATATACTTTAATTCTTGTAAAATAAATCCTTTTTGCTATAAACTATTCGGTACAACTCTTTTTCGACAAATTTATAAATGAAAAAAGACGTATTTCTAAGCAACATTTACACCATAAAACTCTTCAATCCACAAGCTGATAACCTGATATAAAATAATATGTTTTATTAAATTATCACAGAATGAATTAGTGATTAAGTTGTAACGAAGAAAGAAAATCGATCATCAAACAGTGGATTAAATACTCAGCTATTTTCCACTGATCGCCCCTCTCTTCTTCCGCCCTCATTAGGCAGCTTATATCCATC